CAGAGGTGCCAGCTCCCTAGCCGAGTCTGGCGGCCGCTTTATCGCGACAGAGAGGGCGACTTGGGCGACCCCGCGCGAGGAGCCACGAGGAGAGCGGATCCTCGGCGCCGAGGCGCTCGTTTATACGTTTGGGGTTTTTCTCTTGCAAAATGGCAACGTATCTCCCCGCGCTGTAACTGCATTCCAAATTAACGTCCCACTTAACAGTCTCCCATAACTTTAACGTGGAGACCTTTGCTTTATTCTGTTGAAAGAACGCCAAGTAGATCATCGTGTTGCAAGGCATTACTGCCACATCAGTGTTTATCCCGGAGTATAAACGTACCTCTAACCATTAGTTACCGCAGAATGAGATGCTTAATGAAGGCTTCAATTCCCGTCCTGCAGAAAAAAAACAAAACGTTTAATGAAATCCAGTTTGGCCAAATGAGGGTGGTTAGGGTTGTTGGGAGCCTTTTTCCCCATTGCAGAAGACAGAAAGGAGAAGGAAGCGCATCCAGAAGGATTTTGGATCATGGGCAGTGTGAATCACCTTCCAAAACTGCTTCCCTGTTTCCACTGCGTTTCCTAATTGTGTACCTTAATTAGATGCCTGAAGTTAGGACTAATTTGGGCCCAACTGCATAAAATGGTGATAAGAATGTTAAGCCAGGGAAGCCCAGAGGTGGAGGTGATGGGTGACTGTGTCCCATTGATTTGGTGATAAGAGAATGGCTCTAAGATGGACAAAAGGGCCTTATTTTTGTCCCTTAATCAGGACTTAAAACTTACCATTTTTTTTTGTGCCTCCAAAAGAGGATATTGAGGGCATTTAAGAATGATTTAAGAAAAAGAGCTTGGCTTAGTGGCCACATTTCACTTTAAAAGGAAGTAGTAGGTCAATGCTAGCACGTGTCAAGGGAATTTTATTCATATTTTTGTCAAAGAAAATAAAATTTAGTGTTGTTTAACTTGCAGAAAATACTTTTGGGGTATGTTCAAAGCTCTCACGCTTTGAGGTCCTCTGGGTAATCAAAGCAGAATAAGGTTTTATGTAAAATGACTCTGCCTTTGAAGGGAACTTGTTTGGGAGGATCTTAGTTTGGAGGAGCTGGGGAACCCTGTGTCCTGCATCACCATTTAAAAGCAAATGGTACGTGCTGCTTCCCAGCATGTTTTCCTTCATAGCTTAAAGGAGATGAAGTTTTTTGGCCGCTCAAAACAAATGGGACATTCTAGTGACATTTTTGCGGTGCTTTTGGTTACTATTTAGACTAATTTTCTTCTTTTTATTTTTTTTCCTGCTCAAGGGACGGGAAGAACTTCATCGATTGTATCCTTTTTGCACCTTTGAGCCCTCACATGCAGCAGTCTTCGAGGGAGGAAAAAAAGAAATGGCTCAGATCAATTCATTTCTTCCTGCCTAATAAACCTCCACAATTCTATTTTGGTGTTAATTTGTGAGTTTTCAGCTGTCAGCACCATCTGTGTGAAGCAAAAGCGTTTCTTCTCAGGGAAAGTGGTTTTATTTTCCAGTGTTAGCTAGGGGTTCTGCTCAGATTTTGCACCACCTTGGCTTCCATTATGCACAAAAACCTTTAAACAAACCTGCAGCATTGAGAGGGGGCTGGCAGGCATGTTTGATGGTGATATTTCACTCTCATTTCCATAGGGTAAAAACAAACAAATCCAAACTTTTGAGATTTGAGTAACCTCTGTAAAAAAAAAAGTCACTCTTGTCTTCAAAGTTTTCCATATTTAGAACCTGTCTAGGTTTTTTGTTTGTTTGTTTGTTTGTTTTTCTCTACCTTTCTTCAACTGGGAAAACACAACACTCTTGTTCTGTTTTAATAAAATGAGCTGTTCTGGGAACTGGAATCCACTGCATGTGCCTGGGTGCTCTCATCACACACTGGATGGGCAGTTCCTGTAAATCATAACCCAGCGTTAAGTCCCTGCTTAGAGGCATTCAAAGCTTTTGAGAAGGACTGGGAGGAAGAGGGGAGGATTAAGAATATTTTGATTATAGGAAGGCAGAAATCTGGAAATGACTTTGAATTACTTAAGTGAGTTGTGTCTGGTATAATTTGGTTATTAAATGTGCTGCAGGTGTCTCTCATATGCCGTTAATGTGCTGCTGAGGAGATGTGTCCTTCATTAGCTATGTTTCTCCTTTATACAAGTGAACATGGGTGGGCTGGTTTGGACCTCTTAAGTGTTAGGTGTCTCACAGAAATGAGTCATTTCAGCTGCGTTTTTAGTCACCAGGATGCTGCCTTTCAACCTTAGACAGCAGTTTGTCCCATCCTAACGTAGAGCTGCTTGACTTTCAGGTGCTCATCCCCAGTGACTCTAGGGGGAGCCTGGAGAACTCATTTAGACCAGCTGCAGGTTTAAAATGACTAATCCTAAAATGGGCACAGGTGAGATGAACCCTGAGACTGTTCAGTAAATTCTCCCTGTGATCTCTCCGTGATCTTCCAGAGGTTAGGGAGTCTGTTTCTTTGGAACTGACAACCCAAAACTCAGTTTTTAGAGCATTTGTCAGGTATATAACAAAGGTTGAGTTCAGCTTCCAGTTTTTCCATCCTGTGGGCAGTGATGATAGAATCATTATGGCTGGAAAAGACCTTCAAGATCATCTAGTCCAACTGTAAACCCTTCGACTGGGTCTGTCTGCTTCATATAGGCCCACATTTACAGGAATTGGATATTTGGAGTCTGTCAACTTGATTAAAGGTATAGAAGAACAGGTATGGGAGTCGTTTGGGAAAATGTATTCATGCACACGCAGTTCATTTCCTTAGGGACTACAGCTAGCCAAACCCCTGCTACACACCAAATCAAGTTCTTTAAAACCCAACTAAAATCAAACCCGAAAATGCAAATTTTTCCTTGGTATTTGCAAGCCCAAATCACTTTCAGAACCATAGGCAATAGGCAGTCAAAGGTGAAACATTTAGTGTGGTAAGGCACTATATTTTGAGATGATTAGTAAATGGCTTTTTCATGAAATGGACCCTCCCTAATATTAGAAATCCTTAACAATAGTTATTAGCAGTCATCAGTTTCTTTACAGGTCCTATTTTATGTAAATGGAATTTATTACATCTTTTACTTCTTGGCAACTCTTGCAATGATCGTTTATAAAAGTAAGTTGCGTGTGTTCTAGCTCAGAAGGAGGCTATGTGCTTACAGTATGCTCATATTTTGTCAATATGCCCGCTGTATTTTTGTGGTTTATTTACCCTGTTATTTACCCTGTTATTCTACAGGTCAAGTTTTCAGTTACCCAGATAGTTTTTTGGCTCTTGATCTTGCACTGCTTTTTATTATGGCCATTCTTGAAGCACTCCAATTATATTTGGGTATGTCATGTTATGAAAGTTGAGTGAAATATTGAAGTCTTTAAATGTCAATCATGCTAAAATTGGGATATGGTAAAATATGACAGTTTACAGACCCTACAGGTTTTTGGACATTTCTGTTTCATTTCATTAAACGTTATCCAAGTGATCAATGTATTTGGCCCAAAAGTGGTTGAATAAAACAGTGAGTTTCAAGTATATGTAGTTAAATAGCAAAATCTGCCATGGGACCAGTTTGGAAAGAAGGTTCAACTATGAAATGAGGTGTTGCTTTTTCATAACAACGTTAATTTGAAATATAGGCTTCCAGGGAATATGGTAGGTTCTAATTATATAAGATTTTAGAGTCACCACCGGGTGTCCTTAAATGTGCACATTAGCCACCGTGTTGTGAAGTTAGGTGCCAAAGGGCTTGGGGTAAAGTTTGATGGTTGACTAAGAGGGACAGATCCGACCAGCAACAGCTTCAAAACTGATTGTGGGGAAAATAAGGTTGTGCCTTTGAGTATCAGCTGTTCTTTTATTTAGATTAACTTTGCAGTCAAGAAGTTAATAGTCAGTATGGCAGAAGGTGCTTGGGTCCTTTTTGGACAGGGTCACTGCAGACGGGAATGCAGGTCGGGAGGAACCAAGCCACTCACGGCAGCTTCTCCTTTCCTCCGAGGTTCAAAGGGGAACCTGACTGAAGAGGAGGCTCCGCTGGGGCTCAGCCTTGTGCTCACGGTGGGAAGTGCCCTTCTGTGCGTCTACTTCGTGGCGTGGCAGACCTACGTGCTCCGAGCAGATGTCATTTTAAGTGCTGTTCTTCTCTGTACCTACGGTCTCGAGTCAGTGCTCGAGATCGCAGCCATTGCTGCTTTTGTCAGCTAGATCTCTGCCCGGTCTAGCATAACGCGTTCTTTTCCAACACATTTTTTTTCTGTATGTATTTTTAAATATATTTGCAGTGTTCTGTTGTTTCCATGTCAAAATCGCATAGATCTTTCCCTCGTTTAAATTGCAAGCCTTTTTTTTTTTTTTTGGCAGAGGTCTCCCTGAAGAGAGAGATAAAAAATTCCATAGTTTCTCTAACACAATCTGACCAATCAGTTTAGGGGCAAAGGCCAAAGATGATTCAGCAAAAAGCTGTGAGAATCATCCAGCTTAATGCTGCACTGTTCATTAGCAATCTATATTAAATATTCATTCCTAACACAGACCAAATAGCAGCCAGTGTATCATATACCTTTATGCCTTGGAGATTACATCAGTTCTACTGGCATTGTAGCAATTTCTGCCTTACATTCCTGTGTCTGAGGCCACGGTTTTGTTTCATTTTACCTCTTCTGCTGTCCTTTGCGCTCCAGACCCCAATTTCCTTGACTTTAGTAGGGCAGTACCTGATTTGTCGCAGGGGGAGACAGCAGAATTTCAAGCAGTTGGTTCTTATAGACGCAAAGGCCAAAAGCAATGATGTGTGTTTGCTTGCCCTTAAGCTGAGCATAAACATTCACACGCTTTTCTGTCCTTTTTAAAATCAAGCCGAACCTTGTCAAACATGTTTGTCTGGTAGGAAATGTGTCTGTGGCCACAATTCTGCAAAAAAATGCTGCATTCAAGCCTTTTTTTTAAGGAACTGTGTGCAAGTATTGCTTTTTCACCATATCAAAAGTGTGTACATAATAATGTAAAGTTTGGGGAGCTTGTGGGGATTTTGTACAAGCAGACAGTTTTCTATTCAGAATTTCTTATTTTTGTATTTATTTATTCAAATAAATAATGTATTGCACCTAGGCAGTGTTTGAAGTGCTGGGTGTCTGGTTCAGACACTAGGGTGCAGTTAAGCTGCTCAAAGGGAAACTGAGGCTAGGCTTGTGGGGAAAAGACTCTTCTTATCCTGCTGCTGCCATATTTTGGCCATTCTGTTGCACTGGGAAAGAGCGTTTGAGTTCTCTGCTGATTTGTTTCCAGGGGCTGGAAATGCCATGGTTCACCTTCAGCCACACCACTTTGTTTTTTCTTCCAGTGATAGCAGAAGGGAACGAAGGATGCCAAATTTCCTGCAGAAATGCCCGATTTTAGACCTCAGTCCTGCTCTGGGGAGCTCCTTCCAAGGCCAGGTAACACCAGCTTCCATCCACATTACACCTCCCTAGAGTTGGAATGAAAACATGCACTTTGAATCTCTTTGGGTCAGAGCTTCATCCTGTTACATTTAGCAGCACAAACCTTATGCTGGTTGAGGCAGGAGCAGGATTGCACCCATGGTGAAAGCAGCAGAACTGGGTGCTAAGGAGCAGCCAGGAAATAAGCAACCGACCAAATGTTTCTGTGCTGAATCTGAGCAAATCAAATACCCACCCATTTGTTTTTCCAAATTTGTTTCACGTGGTAGAATGTGCTCATCACGCATTTGCTGTAAAGAGAGACAAACATACCAAGCTAGAGCTGCCCGAGTCATGATGAGAGCATACCAAGCAAAACCCTTTTCTATACACATCTGAATGAAAGGACACTTATTTCCTGGTATTTCATTACATCTGCCTCGTGCAAGGATCTGGAAATAGAAAATCTGGCAGGATTTAAAGGAAGAAATGCTAAGTGGGGAAAAAAATCACCTGGATGCAGGTGGCCTGACTGATGAGGTGTCTGGTGTCCTACAGACCCCTCTGGTGACAGACTCCAGGATGGCCATTAGAGTCTGCTGACCCCCCAGCCTAGATGTGCATACCCAAAAGGACAGGACTGTTGTGTTTCTTTTTTTTTTTTTCTATTCAAAATAAAATTGCCCACCAACTTTTTCTTTTTGGAGCAGATCCTGAGGTATTTCCACTGCTGTCAGTCCCTCACAGTGTGCTGAACGTAGAAAACGTCTGTAAACTTCAGATGATTTATTCTTCTCACATATCCCCAGGATTTGAACGGCAATTGTCACTTAGGCTGGGGACTGATTTAAGGACATATTTGCCCCATGCTGAGCTGATACAAAACCCAAAGTGTTCCTTTTTTTTTCTAATCAGTAACACTTTTTGCAATCTCATCGCAGTGTTTGGAGAAGCCAGGGCATGGCAGAGTAATGCCATTGATTGATGACGTTTGCCAGACATAATTTTGATGGAGCTTTTAATTACGAGGCCCAGCCCTTTTGAAACAGGATGAGCAAGTTGGATGAAAATGGCATTAAAAATATAGAGGAACACATATTTTGAGGCGCTTGGTTTGGGTGTTGTTTGCTCTGCAAGGAGGAAACCTTTGTTCTCCAGCCATCAGAGGGGTGTCTGCCGCCAGCCTGATTTAAAAGGCTGATCCTGAGAAGCAAGTTGGCCTCCCAGCATTTCAAACGCAGAGATATTTTTCAAGATTTATTGGCCTATGACCGTTTTTTTTGTGTGTGTGTTCCTAAGCAGGCAGAAACAGTGTGCGACTGACCTGCCGCATTCCTCAGGTGCCTGTCAGCTGTTTCAATCACAGTGTGAACGGCTTTGAGCTGCGGGAGAGGAGGTGAGGCTTGGGGTGGTTGCAGTGCACATTCATTTGGTTCTGTGAGCGGAAACCCAGCAAAGCTGGCGTACAGGAATTGCCACTGTGGGTAGCAAATCCCCCATCTGGCTTAGTGCCTGTGTCCCATTTTGTCCAGCATCAGCTATTGCAGGGAAGACTCAATGAACTCAATTGTGGTTTCCTTCCTTGCCTGGAGGAAAATGTCTCTCCTCTACTTAGCAGGTAAGAGATTTCCTGCAGGACACAGCACTTTGTAGCAGCCCATGGGGACTATCTTTGTAATGAACATGGGAGCCAAAGCTGCCAGATAGAAAGCAATTTAGTACCTTAAACATTAGGTGTCTTCACATGATCCTTCCAACCACCTATTTGCGTCCTGGCAAAGTCAGCTCAGCCCAGCAACCCTACCGAAACCCTCAAGTGGTGAATGACACGTTTTGGTGGGGAAGAATCTCTTGCACAAAACCTTTCAACTCGCAAGACCTGCTGGTCTCCATCACCGCTTGTGTTTCCCACCATGTTTCCCTCAAAGAGGGGAGTCTCCCTCTGCTGATGTTCCTTCCCCTCCCTGCATTGTGGTTGCTGCTTCTCCTGGTGCATTTCCACGGTGCGTTTCCATGAGCTTGTGGGGCACCTCCTGGGATCTCAATGGCATTGCACCAAGGAGGGTGGCAGGGCCCAGGGTGGGTGTGCAGTATCGAGGACCTGCTCGCCTCGTCCTGCGGTGGAAGAGGATGCTCTTCCGTCAGAGACGAGCAGCTATGGTTCTCCGCCCCGCGCGGCTCGCCACGCAGCATCCCTGCCGTGATCGCTCACCAGGGGCGTTCTCCTCCGCACGGCTTCCTGGACATGGACCAGGGAGAAAGCCAAACACTTAGCCCCTGTATTGTGGCAAACATGGGGAAAACCACGGGTAGCTCAGCAAGCACAGAGTTCTGGAAGCCACGTTTCCTCCAGATGCGTGTGCTGGGGTGCAATGGGGCTGCCATTGCAGCTATTTCTTCGCTCAAGGACGAGGAATTGGGGATATCTCCTCTACCATCAACCCACTCTTGGAAAAGTGAATTACTTCCAAGGTCTCTTCCTTGCTGCTAGAACTGACTTTAGCTTAAATGGCTTCAAAGTATGTTATAGGGATGGTGGAGAGACCTATTATACACGTGTTTTGACCAAACGATCTCACAAGCTCTGTTTCTGGAAGAGGACAGGCTGCCCAGATGGATCTCACACTGCTAGTACCAGTCTAGTTGATGTGTCCCAGTACAATGTAAGCGCTGGAGCTGATGCCATCACTGTAAAGTGCTTCAAGATTGAAACTCTGAGACAAATGGAACTATAAGTTCTTTTAAAGTAATAGCCTGCCTATGTAAGAGGCTTTTTTGGACCTCACTTCCCTCCCATGGTCACCAGGGCTAAGCTGGTTTCAGGGCAGGGCTCCAAGTGCGATTCAAACCATGGGCTGTGTGAAGAGCCTTGGCAAGGGAGGGGGTGGCTTGAAAGGCACCTCTGAGGGGATGGCCCCATTTGCCTCCCCCTCATGGTTCATTTCCCCACCACTGACATCCAGGTGGAGAGAGTGGGCGAGAGCGAAGCTGGCGGAAACGCGCCGGTGAGCCAGCACCGTGCTGCCGAGAAGGGCGCCGGGTGGCACAAAAGGCGCCTTGTTTCGCCCACAAGGCGGTCGGGGGGCCCCTCGGAGCACTGGAAAACTCAGGCATGTCCAAGGCCCTGGCGCCTCACAGGGATGCGGCCGCCCTCCCGCCGGGAGCTGCGGGCCTCCTAGTTATACAGTAACCTGTTGCTCTGGGTCCCAGCTCCACCTCTTGCTGCCTCCACATCCCTCCCCTCCTCTGCTGCCGCTCCGCTCGCTCTGCCAAGAAACCTCTCGTCACCTGCTCGCAGGCGGCCCCGGCGAGCGACCGGGAGCGGCGCAGAGTCCCGCGGGGGCGTCAGGAGCTGCGCGCCGGGCACCCTTTGCCTCACACGCTCCTCCGCGCTCCTCCGTGCAGCTCGCGAGGCGCAGCGGGAGCGGCACGGCCGCCGGACGATGGCAGCGGGATCTCGCTAGGAGGGCACGGAGAGGACGCCGGGGACACCGCCGGGGACGGGAGAGACTTCTCAGCACCGGTAAGCGCTCTCCTTCCCAGCGCCGAGCCCGACTGTCGCACCCCCAAAACACACCCCCCGCTTCCCCACACGCGCCTGCCTCAAGAGCTGAATCCGGCTGCTCAGAAATGGAGTGAAACTGCATAGTTTTCTATTTTTTTTTTAAAAAGGAGAAGTAATTTTCCTTTTTTTTACCTCCTCTTTATTTATTTATTTTTTGTACTTTCCGAATGGCCCAAGGTCCAGTAGGTGGCACTTTCTTGGCAGCAAAATATCCATTCTGG